GATTTACAGGGACACAAATACTATAGATGCAGTCAAATGCATGCACATAATCATGGACAAGCGGCATACAGCAGATCTTCACAATATTTAGCATCACTCAGTTGTTATGGATACAAATAGCACAGTCTCCGCCAGATATGACGGCTGCCTATAATAGCAGACAGAGCGCAGTGCTTTGCTAGCCGTTTAGCCCTCTTTTTGGGCATCCCTAGTTGTTGAAGACCCCTTACAACCAGCCTGTGTGTGTGTGTGTGTGTGTGTCCTAAGCTGCCAAATATGATCACAAGAAGTCGGCTCTGATAACCTAACTCTGAGATGACGTTTAGGAGTGGTTGATATTTAATCATCTTAGTCATAAAAGCTTCTTCCATACTAGAGTCAAAGGTACATGCAACCTCCACAACGAACACCTCGCTGATCTCCTCATTAATCACAACAATATCTGGTGTATTTGCACACATGAGAAAAGGTTTCAGAGCTATTACACTTCTGAAACATAGATGATTTTACACATGAATGTTTGTACATTTTTACAGCAGATGAGAAAAAGCTTGATATGTCCTTCACTATAAGATCCACTATTCTGTCGTGGCGTGCGATGTACACTCCTTTATAGGCATGGCAGCCGTTTAAGATGTGTGGCAGTGTTTCAGTGATCTGTTCTGTAGTGTGATGCAAGCAGTGAGACCCATCACACATACACACACACACTAACCCGACCCCTAAACCTACCCATCTCACTCACTCACACACACACACACACACACACACACACACACACACACACTACCCTGACCCCTAAACCTACCCATCTCACTCACACACACACACACACACACACACACACACACACACACACACACACACACACACTAACCCGACCCCTAAACCTACCCATCTCACTCACTCACACACACACACACACACACACACACACACACACACACACACACACACACACACACACACACACACACTACCCTGACCCCTAAACCTACCCATCTCACTCACACACACACACACACACACACACACACACACACACACACACACACACACACACTAACCCGACCCCTAAACCTACCCATCTCACTCACTCACACACACACACACACACACACACACACACACACACACACACACACACACACACTAACCCGACCCCTAAACCTACCCATCTCACACACACACACACACACACACACACACACACACACACACACACACACACACTACCCTGACCCCTAAACTTACCCATCACACATATACATACACACACACACACACACACACACTAACCCGACCCCTAAACCAACCCATCTCACACACACACACACTAACCCAACCCCTAAACCTACCCATCTCACACACACACACACACACACACACACACACACACACACACACACTACCCTGACCCCTAAACTTACCCATCTTACACACACACACTAACCCGACCCCTAAACTTACCCATCTCACACACACACACACACACACTAACCCGACCCCTAAACTTACCCATCTCACACACACACACACACACTAACCCAACCCCTAAACTTACCCATCACACACACACACACACTAACCCGACCCCTAAACTTACCCATCTCTCACACACACACTACCCTGACCCCTAAACTTACCCATCTTACACACACACACTAACCCGACCCCTAAACTCACCCATCTCACACACACACACTAACCCGACCCCTAAACTTACCCATCTCACACACACACACACACACACACACACACACACACACACACACACACACACACACACACACACACACACTAACCCAACCCCTAAACTTACCCATCTCACACACACACACTAACCCGACCCCTAAACTTACCCATCTCACACACACACACACACACACACACACACACACACTAACCCAACCCCTAAACTTACCCATCACACACACACACACTAACCCGACCCCTAAACTTACCCATCTCACACACACACACACACACACACACTAACCCAACCCCTAAACTTACCCATCACACACACACACACACTAACCCAACCCCTAAACTTACCCATCACACACACACACACTAACCCGACCCCTAAACTTACCCATCTCACACACAACTTTCTACATTTTTACATTTTCAAAAAAATCACATTTTATTATGTTTATTTAATCAATTTTCCTGGCTCTCTGTAACCGCTGACAGAAACACACTGATGGCCAGCAGGTTTGTATCAGTGCCAAAGTGTTTTGTGACCTTCTACAACTGAGCGCACATGAAGCGCCACACACAAACACACACACACACACACACACACGCACACGCACACACACACACACGCTGCTCTGTTAGTGCTGAACAATGTCCTTCTCTCTGCTAGATATGCTGCTTCGCACATTCAGCTCAACACACTTCTGCTCATGCACAATTTGATGTAAATAAATAAGTAAATATAAATAAAAACATGATTTAAATAAATAAATTTGATTAAAAAATAATAATAAGTCAAATAAATAAAATCTAAAAGATTGAAAACCTCAGAATCAAATACATAAATATAAATAAATGTAAATTTAGCTCTACTAATACTGTCAAAATAATGGCTTTTTTGCTGCAGTTGTAACTAAACACAAGCCACGCGAGCGCAGAAGTGCAACGCTACTGTAGTGCACACACACACACACACGTTAATCAGGACGGGTCGAGTGTGTGTGTGTGTGTGTTATTCTCAGCACACGAGCGAGTGGACACTTACAGAACAAACCCTGAGCGAAGCTTCTGTACAGTCACACCGTGGAGAATAACCTGCTTGAATTATTAATAAGCTTGTAGTATATTAATGAAATTAGAGTGTACAGTCGTCAACTCAGGGGAGCCGTGCATTAATATTTCACAACGGCCTGCGTTCACAAGCTCAGGCGGAGAACACACACACGCATTCAGCGTTCCTTATAGAGGACATCGACTTCGTGATAAAATACAGACAAATCCAGCGGGATATTTCAGGGCATATGTTGCATTATAATTCTAATATAATTCTAAAAACTCACAAATAAAAATTCTAGTAGTTAAAGACAACAACAACATATAGATGCATTACTGAGAATAAGAACTAAATTTGATGTGAAAATGTCTTGAAAAGTGTCTTTTTTGTCAATTTAGTTGTTTCATTTTTATAGGTTTTGTAATATTCTACTAACTGGTGTATTTACTAGGTCGCTTCAGAGGCATACGGTACTCTAACAATGCAACAATAATAAAACCATGCATTGACATTTACTATTTACTTTTGATACTCAAGTACTTTTAAAAACGAGTACTTCTGTACTTTTACTTAAAGGCAGGGTAGGTAAGTTTGAGAAACTAGCAGAAAACTGAGATGGTCCTCACTGCAGAACACGAAATCCAGGGGGAGGAGATGGATCCAGATCCAACTCCTCCCACCTTACATATACCTAAACCTACCCATCTCCGCCCCCTGATCCCTAACCCCACCCCTAATCCTACCCATCTCCGCCCCCTGATCCCTAACCCCACCCCTAAACCTACCCATCTCCGCCCCCTGATCCCTAACCCCACCCCTAAACCTACCAATCTCCGCCCCCTGATCCCTATCTCCGCCCCCTGATCCCTATCTCCGCCCCCTGATCCCTATCTCCGCCCCCTGATCCCTATCTCCGCCCCCTGATCCCTATCTCCACCCCCTGATCCTACCCATCTCCGCCCCCCTGATCCCTAACCCCACCCCTAATCCTACCCATCTCCGCCCCCTGATCCCTAACCCCACCCCCAATCCTACCCATCTCCGCCCCCCTGATCCCTAACCCCACCCCTAAACCTATCCATCTCCGCCCCCTGATCCCTAACCCCACCCCCAATCCTACCCATCTCCGCCCCCTGATCCCTAACCCTACCCCCAAACCTACCCATCTCCCCCCCCTGATCCCTAACCCCACGCCTAAACCTACCCATCTCCGCCCCCTGATCCCTAACCCTACGCCCAAACCTACCCATCTCCCCCCCCTGATCCCTAACCCCACGCCTAAACCTATCCATCTCCGCCCCCTGATCCCTAACCCCACGCCTAAACCTACCCATCTCCGCCCCCTGATCCCTAACCCTACCCCCAAACCTACCCATCTCCCCTAAACCTACCCATCTCCGCCCCCTGATCCCTAACCCCACGCCAATCCTACCCATCTCCGCCCCCCTGATCCCTAACCCCACCCCTAAACCTACCCATCTCCGCCCCCTGATCCCTAACCCCACGCCTAAACCTACCCATCTCCACCCCCCTGATCCCTAACCCCACCACTAATCCAACCCATCTCCGCCCCCTGATCCCTAACCCCACCCCTAAACCTACCCATCTCCGCCCCCTGATCCCTAACCCCACCCCAATCCTACCCATCTCCGCCCCCCTGATCCCTAACCCCACCCCTAAACCTATCCATCTCCCCCCCCTGATCCCTAACCCCACCCCCAATCCTACCCATCTCCGCCCCCTGATCCCTAACCCTACCCCCAATCCTACCCATCTCCGCCCCCTGATCCCTAACCCTACCCCCAAACCTACCCATCTCCCCTAAACCTACCGATCTCCGCCCCCTGATCCCTAACCCCACCCCAATCCTACCCATCTCCGCCCCCCTGATCCCTAACCCCACCCCTAAACCTACCCATCTCCGCCCCCCTGATCCCTAACCCCACCCCTAATCCAACCCATCTCCGCCCCCTGATACCTAACCCCACCCCTAATCCAACCCATCTCCGCCCCCTGATACCTAACCCCACCCCTAATCCAACCCATCTCCGCCCCCTGATCCCTAACCCCACCCCTAATTCAACCCATCTCCGCCTCCTGATTTTGAAAGTATCCAACAGAGAACCTGTTTGGGAAAAATTTGGGAAAAAGTGTTTTTAGAAACAAACTGCCTACCCAGCCTTTAAGTTAAAATAGGTCTTTTACTTGTAGTGTTGTAGTATTTGACCAGTAGTATCTGTACTTTCTCTCAAGTAAGGAAGTTGTGTGCTTTGTCCAAAACTCCTGATCATGAGGATCCAGCCCTGAGCTTTCCTGGAGCCGAGCGACTCACCTTTATGCCCCATCATCACCGCCAGATGAAGAGGAGTGTTTCCTGCAAGACAAGACAGATTTGAGTCATCCACAGTCACACGGCTCGTTGGAGACGCGCCTCGCCTTGCCTGAGATTAAATGAAGTTTAAAAAGCGCAGGCAAGACGGACAGATCTCTAAACTAAAGCGGATCAGAGACAGATATCGCGGACTCACGCTCGCGCGCGGTGTTGCTAATAACCTGGATGTAGTTTAAGTTCTGTCGCTTTTATATGAAAATAAATATAATGAACAAGACACCCAAAGTACATCCGACATGTTGATTAAAATAAATTAAAAATACATTATTATTCATTAAAAAAATTAGTGGAAACTAATACAATGACATAACGTAATAGATACTAAATGGATAAAATAATGATTAAAATAAAAAAATATTTTGCTTTGTTTCTGTTTTTGACATTAGGTGTGTTTGTTATAGACGAGTGATGTTCTAGAAACAGCATTGAGATCAAATAAATCAATACAAACTTGATTTAAATAAATAATCATACCAAAGACGTGTTTATCAAGCATTTTTACTTTAATTACAGATATGTTTTATATATATTTTTTAGAAATATGACAACGATCAAATAACCCGTATAGAGATCACACTGTCGGATAGTTCGGGAACACTCACACATAATTCATAGTACAGATAAAAACACGAGATCACAGTTTTAAAATCAAACGGTTTAAAAGAGAACAATACATCACGGCTGTTTAAACCAAATGAGCATTAAACTCGAAAAATTAGAATATGGTGCAAAAGTTCATTTATTTCAGTAATTCAACTTAAAAGGTGAAACTAATATATTATATAGACTCATTACATGCAAAGTGAGATATTTCAAGCCTTTATTTGTTATAATTGTGATGATTATGGCTTACAACTTATGAAAACCTTTCACAATATTCTAATTTTGACTTTGGGGTTTTTATAAGCTGTAAGCCATAATCATCACAATTATAACAAATAAAGGCTTGAAATATCTCACTTTGCATGTAATGAGTCTATATAATATATTAGTTTCACCTTTTAAGTTGAATTACTGAAATAAATTAACTTTTCCACCATATTCTACTTTTTCCAGTTTCACCTGTACATCATATCAGTGTTTTATTATCACTGAGATCATTGATAGTTTTTAATAAAAAATAAAAAAAATCTATTTGAAATAGATTTTATAATTATATTTTCATTTTAGTTTAAGTTTTCATAATTTTGTTAGGTGATTAATTTCGTTTTTTTATGGTTTTAGTGTGTGTTAACTATAATAGTATATGCATCGCTCATGTACTGATGTATGTAGTTTGATATATGAGAATGAAAACGAGTAACACAAAAAGCTCTTAGCACTGAAAAATGATAATCAATCATGATTAATCATATTATTAGGACTGATTCATAATTCATCATACAGATAAAATCCAGACATGTAATTATGTGAAACTAGTTTCATGCATTCAAGTTTCAAGTGGACTGATTTTCAATTTTTGATTTATTCTATGTGAATATAATGGACTCACGGGAGTTCTGCACAATAACAGTTTTAGATCACCATGACTCTGGACTATTATGGTTCTAGATCACCATGTTTTTGATGCATTATAGTTCTAGATCATCATGATCATTCATTATGGCAAAGAATAATAACAGTTTTACATCATCATGGTTCTGGACTATTATGGTTCTCGATCACCATGTTTTTGAGTCCCTGGGGTTCTAGATCATCATGATAATCATGACTATGAATAATAATAGTTTACATCATCATGGTTCTGGATTATTATGATTCTAGATCACCATGTTTTTGATGTGTTATAGTTCTAGATCAGCATGATCATCATGTCTATGAATAATAATAGTTTACATCATCATGGTTCTGGATTATTATGATTCTAGATCACCATGTTTTTGATGTGTTATAGTTCTAGATCAACATTATAATTTTAAATGAATAATAACAGTTCTAGATTATCATGGTTATGGATTACTATGATTCTCAATCACCATATTTTTGGTGCATTATAGTTCGAGGTCAGCATGATCATTATGATGACTATTGACTATGAATAAAAACAGTCCTAGACCATCATGGTTCTGGATCATTATGGTTCTGGATCACCATGTTTTTGAGTCACTGAGGATCTAGAACATCATGATCATCATGACTATGAATAATAACATTAACACCATCATGGTTCTGGATTATTATGATTCTCGATCACCATGTTTTTGAATCCCTGAGGTTCTAGATTATTATGATTCTCGATCACCATGTTTTTGAGTCCCTGAGGTTCTAGATCAGCATGATTCTGGATAATTATGACCGAATAGTTTGTTTATTATCGTGTGTGTAGGTCACGCCTCACCGTGGACGTCTTTCTGCGCGATGTTCTGACTTCGGATGAGCGATGACAGCCTCCTCACGTCTCCCCTGAACACACACTCATGCACGGGGTACGCGCTGTCAGTGTCCCCGTGGTTCTGGTTCTGCTGAGAACTGGAGCGGGTGATCTTGTGGTTGCTGCCGCTGAAGATCTTGCTGCCTCGGTTGGCTTTTATCGGCCCGGTGGCCGCCGGTTCCTCGTCCGGCTCCAGCAGATCCAAACCCGCCTTGCGCTCTTTGCGCACCGAGCGGATCTTCTCTCCCGTCATATTTACACAGATGAGCGGTGGAAAACACCAGCCCGCACAACATGAACACTGTCCGGTGACTCAACGGAGAAGGACGGGAATGAAACACGCACCGGGGCGACGCATCTAACGGTAAACAAACGACACACACTCACACACCCTACGAGGAAGAGCCATCTGCCATCTTCCGCTCACACTCTCGCGAGATTTACAAACGGGGGGTATTGAACGCAGGGAGAGTCTCGCGAGAATGAGGGGACTCACCCTCATGCATCGAAACAATCCTCTACTCTCGCGAGAATGGAATGCAGGTTGACTAGAGACTGGCTGGTGTCGCGAGATCGAGTAATTCTGTAAAACACATCTTCATTTGTTTGACATACACAAACTGATTGAGATGTTTGGATATAACAAGCTAAATAGAAGCGAAGATTTTAGTTGTCATTTTATAAATTAAACGTTTAGAGGAGGAGAGCAGACATGCGCAGTGTCACTGCTGACACCTGCTGGAGAGTAAACATCATTTCAAAGGCACTTCTGGTCAAATCTGACTGATTTAAAGTCCCCATGAAATCAAAATGGAAGTTTTTTGGCTTTTAGTATGAATATATTATATTTATATATATATCCAGCCTCCTATTTTAAAGCGATATGGAGGAGATTAGGAGGAGAAACGGTTAGAGATTAGGAGGGAACTGGGGCTTTAACGAGCTGTGATATAAACAAAACGCTATTGGCTGTTTTCAAAAAGGGGAGGAGCTGTTCAATATGTCCCGCCCAAGCGTGCCGCACAAGCCCTCAAAAGTGAAGCCAAAACGTCTCGATCGCCCCCCGGTGACCGGTCCTAGTATAGCTCATAAGCCCCGCCTCCCCATGTTATTCAACGGGACGTGAGACCAACTAAATAATTAAATTACACTTCACATATCTTTTTTCTAAAGATAGTTTCTGTCATTTACTGTAGTTTCTATCACGTTGATGTAATTTCAAGTGTTTGCTTTTAAAATAAGTAAGTTTTTAGTTAGTTATTTGATGCTATAAAAACGGTGCTGTGACATCATGATTGACAGCTGTGATTGACAGGTTCTCTGTGTGAAATAGTCACTGAAGCACCAACGGACTTTTTTTCATAATGTTGACTATGTGGTTAGTAGTTGTATTTACCTTATTTTAACGAGGTACTGCAATCATCAGACATCATTGGAGAGGAATGGAGCAGACAAGGCCACTTAAGAGAGTGAGGGCGGGGCCTTGATTTCGCGGCTTTACTTCCTGCTCACGACTGCGCATGACTGGTCCCGAAAACACTACTGCGCAGACTCAAGTTCCAATATGTCAGCGCCATATCGGGACACTGGCGGCTTCAGTTCTCTCCAATGGAAAAGAGCGAAGGGGCGTCGTCCATCTTTTTTTACAGTCTATGGTCCCGCCCTGTCTTCCTGTTTCAGTGGAAATTCAGTGGCCTTTAAAAACAAACCGAATTCTTATTAGTTCAGACATTCATATTAATAATAATAATACATTTTATTTATAACGCGCCTTTCTCGTGTCTAAAGAGCTACAACACAAAGTAAACAGATTATAAAAATACAAACATGCAAATGACATAAAAAATAGGTACACAGCTAATAGGTTTGAATTAGCATGTTTGGCTAGCATGTTTTAACAGGTTGCTAACATGATTTAGCATGTTCTAGACATGTCTTAGCACCTTTGCTAGCATGAATTAACATGTTAGAATGTTTTAGAAATGCCTTAAAATATCTTGAATGTAACTCGACACCCTTGCCTCATTTAGTATGTGCGGTTCTATGAATATGCGAATGAGCCCCGCCTCCAGTCACTCACTCAGCTCAGAGATCCACTGGTTGACGATCACACGTTGATCTGATTGGTTACAAGGTCGTTTGTGACGTCAGAAACACCAGCGATTTCAAACCGTGTTTTTGAGACTGTCTTTGGTTCACTGCAGTTTTAAGGAGGAAATACTCAGCAATGCTGTCGACTTATGAACTTACACATGGTGTGTCTTAAAGCGTATTAAAAACACCACATAGACACAGAAACAACTATAAACGCTGGATTTCCAGCTAAATAGTACCCCAGCTCATAATAAAGTGTAACCAAAAATAAAAGTATGAGGTGATCTTTACCCCTAAATAAACTCACATTTACATCATACAACAACAGAAACATGTTTCGTGTCTGTGGTCAGTGTTGAAAGACTTTATTCTCAGACTGTGTGTGCGATACATTGCTTATGGAGTCAAAATAATGCCACATATATTTGCACACAAAAAAAATCAGGTATTGGAAAAGAAAAGAGTGTTTTGCAAACAAAAATAAAGTACTTCAAAAGAATTTGCACACTTTTATAGCAATACATTTTTTTGCTTAATGGTTAACCCACAGGAGGATGGCGACTGAAACGCAGAATAAAAGGAGCGTTGCAAATGAAACCACTTTATTTTTCTTTTGCAATTCTTTATTTTGGTTTGCAAAACAATGTTTTTTTCTCTCAATACTTTATTTTTCTTTTCCAATTCTTTATTTTTGTTTGCAAAACAACGTTTTTTTCTCTCAATACTTTATTTTTCTTTTCCAATTCTTTATTTTTGTTTGCAAAACAACGTTTTTTTCTCTCAATACTTTATTTTTCTTTTGCAAATCTTTATTTTGGTTTGCAAAACAACGTTTTTTTCTCTCAATACTTTATTTTTCTTTTGCAATTCTTTATTTTGGTTTGCAAAACAACTTTTTTTCTCTCAATACTTTATTTTTCTTTTGCAATTCTTTATTTTTGTTTGCAAAACAACGTTTTTTTTCCTCTAAATACTTTATTTTTCTTTTCCAATTCTTTATTTTTGTTTGCAAAACAACGTTTTTTTCTCTCAATACTTTATTTTTCTTTTGCAAATCTTTATTTTGGTTTGCAAAACAAAGTTTTTTTCTCTCAATACTTAATTTTTCTTTTGCAATTCTTTATTTTGGTTTGCAAAACGTTTTTTTCTCTCAATACTTTATTTTTCTTTTGCAAATCTTTATTTTGGTTTGCAAAACAAATTTTTTCTCTCAATACTTTATTTTTCTTTTGCAATACTTTATTTTGGTTTGCAAAACAACGTTTTTTTTCTCTAAATACTTTATTTTTCTTTTGCAATTCTTTATTTTGGTTTGCAAAACAACGTTTTTTTCTCTAAATACTTTATTTTTCTTTTCCAATTCTTTATTTTTGTTTGCAAAACAACGTTTTTTTCTCTCAATACTTTATTTTTCTTTTGCAATTCTTTATTTTGGTTTGCAAAACAACGTTTTTTTCTCTAAATACTTTATTTTTCTTTTCCAATTCTTTATTTTTGTTTGCAAAACAACGTTTTTTTCTCTCAATACTTTATTTTTCTTTTGCAATTCTTTATTTTGGTTTGCAAAACAATGTTTTTTTCTCTCAATACTTTATTTTTTTGCAAACATATGTGTCATTATTTTGACTCCATGCGCCACACAATGGCAGAGTGACCCGTGAGTGACCGCAGCAGAAGCTCAGTGAGTTCAGATCGTTCAGCAGCAGCTCTGGAATCTCCTCTCCTAACACACAAACACTCGTTTCTCTGGGATCACACGGATATATCCGATGGAGGGTTGAAATCATTCTGATCTGATGATGAAATCTGCTAATAAGTAAGTATAACAGCCGGTTCTGACTTTATTAACTCAGTTCTTGAGTAAAATGCTGGACAATGAAACCGTTCCTGAGTATATTTGATATTAAAATGAAATCTGATATATATTAATTTGTTTTAAAGAATCGTCCAATAACATGATTAGGATGCAAGTGTTAATTATATTTCTGTCCAGCTGATAAACACTGTAATGTTTCATGCCTCTTTTCCACTTGTTTCTCTATTATTTGCATGCCATTGTGAGTGTTGTAAGACCCTGTGTTTATGTGTGTTTGTGTAACGGTGACCCTTTTCATTGTCTTGTGTTACTCCAGCATTCTCTGGCTGTTTTCACATCACAACTCACTTTACACGCTCAGAAACGTTAAACATGTTCAGAAATGCTATATTAGTATTGATTTCAGTGTTGTCTAATGATCCCTTTTTATTTTTCCCTCAGAAAGTGCAGAATTATGCTTTGGGATGATGGATAATCAACATAGAAGAACTGTTAATGTAAGTAAACAAGCAAAACACTGTAAAAAATGACCAGGAATTTACAGGATTAAAGATTATTATTTTACAATAAATTATTGTAGTCTGAAATTTTCAGTAAAATTAATGCATGCTGTTTTTTTTTTTTTTTTTACAAATTAACGTTAATCAACAGCAAAATGATGCTGACATCACAGTAGTTTACTGCTCTTGTTTTACTGTAAACTCTCATGATAAGAAATTCCACTGTAAGAAATTATATTGTTTACCACTGTAATTGTTTGAAGTCACCATTATGGTGATCCATGTTCAATTTGCTTGGGATCTTGGATCTTATATCATATTCAAATGTCTGATCTAGACAAGTCAGAAAACATTTGTTAAAACAATGGCAAGCTAGAGTGTAAATAGGCTAATTGGCTGATTTATCAAATCCATAATTGTTTGTTGATGGATATTTTACAATAGTAAAGCTACTTTTAAGATCTATCTTTGAAACGTGTGACATTATCTTGCAATGCAAGATTTATTTTCTTCCATCACCAAATGATGCGCAGACATGAATACTCAATATACAAAACACAACAATGGTAACACATGACTCAACAAATAATAATAATAAAGATAAATTCTGAACATTACAAAATAAACAAACAACACAATCTGATAAAAGTGAAGCAAAAATAAGTTCAGCAGCACAGATAAAAACAACAAGAATCAAGAAACTCCACAACATAATCTATTCATGCTGCGCTGCATGCTGGGAACCTTCATATATGCACTATAGAAATACAGTATGATATTGTAGATTTTACAAGAAATATTAAAGAGTGCAGTTAGACACAAGAGAAGTCCTACTGCGGAATTACCGGGAAAGTAACGTTAATGCAATTATTAACCTGGAATATACTGTAATTTCACACTAAAATTTTTAATAGTGTACTTTAAAATGTGTGCAAATTAGCTAAACAGCGTTATGGAAATAATGGGCAAGTAGTGTTTACTATAAAGGATTTTGTGTCTAAAAGTGTCTAAAATAATGATTCAGGATTCGACAGACAAGCTAAAAAATACAACAGAATTACCCATGGTGCACTGAAGAGTTAACGTTTAACCTAAAGTTCACCCAAAAATGAAAATCATGTCCCTAATTACTCACCTTCTCGTCGTTCCAAACCCGTAAGACTTTCGTTCATCTTCGGCACACAAATAATGATCTTTTTGATGAAATCGGAGAGCTTTCTGTCCCTCCATTGACAGTCTACGCAATTACCACTTTTAAAAAAGGTAATAAGACACCATTAAAGGAATCCATGTAAAGGAATTCACTCCAGTCGTTTAAACTCAAATTTATGAAGCAACACGAGTGGCAAAAAAACACAATTTACTTTGTTTACAAAATTTGAATAAACTCCAACGGCGCACCACGACGCATGCGTGTTTTGTTGACGCGAGCGGACGTTAATTGTTGTGAACGCGCGTTGGAGATTAAAAACAACAGGTTTCTTACAGACCGTTCACACCAATGATGATAACGATAAAGATATAGTTCTAAAAACAGTAACTTTACATAAAAGAATAGCAAGCAGAGTTCACACTATATACCACAGAGAAACTTAAACAATATCAATGGAATCACTTTCAGCTGATTAACAATAAAAACACTGACCGCCAATCAGAATCCATCCTCCTTTAAAGAGCTCGAGCATTTAAAGCGATAGACGACAAAACTGCAGCGTGAAAGATCACAATTATTTGTGTTTTTCTTTTAATCTGAGGATTAAAAATGCTTCTTGGCAAAATGTAAAGCCTACAATCTACTAAATGGAAAACATGAATAATAATCAAATGTAGGTCTGTTATTGTTAAAGAAACAGCACACATAAAATATAAAAGTTTGAAAGTGACTCTTATGTCATTTTTGTACTATCCTATGACTGTGAGTTTTCTAATATGTCTCTGTTTGCTTCAGATGGCCTCCAGTGAACCTGATAATTATCAGTCTAACGAGGAACCCCAGCCTGGTGACCTCATCGAGATCTTCAGACCAGCCTATCAGCACTGGGCTCTTTACCTGGGAGACGGTTACATCATCAACCTCACTCCTGTCGGTCAGTGGCATCCTCATGGCTCAAAAACAGCATATAGATGAGCTCAAAATAATATTTAGGCCTGAATTCAAGATTTATGTATCTGAATGGCATATTAAAATCTCCATTCATTTGGATTAAACAGATGTAGTAACACTTTACAACAAGGTTACATTAGTTAAGTTTGTTGCTTAACATGAACATTTACCAATACATAATTAAAATCAAAAGTTGTATCTGTATCTATTATTTTATAACCATGACCTAACAAAGAACAGTCATATTTTTACTAACACTAACATATCACTAACACAGATTAATAAATACTGTAACTAACATATTGCTTGTTGTTAGTTATTGTTAGTTAATAATGCATTAGCCAATGTTAACTAATGAGACCTTATTGTAAAGTGTTACCAACAGTTTTAACATAAATTAACCTGTCAGTCGGATACATGAATGAAACAGGTCATTATAATGGCATACTTTATTATTAAGTATTTGCATCTATTTGATTTTTTCCAAGTCCCCCTGTGTAGTCAATAATTTTATCCTATAAAACTTATCTTTGATCACCAAAATGACATATTTAAATGTTTTTTCCTTGAAAAAATTGTCTTCAGGCCCTCAAAATATCTTGAATGTAACTCGACACCCTTCCCTCATTTAGTATGCGCGGTTCTATGAATATGCAAATGAGCCCCGCCTCCACTCACTCACTCAGCTCAGAGATCCACTGGTTGACGATCACACGTTGATCTGATTGGTTACAAGGTCGTTTGTGACGTCAGAAACACCAGCAATGCTGTCGACTTATGAATTTACACATGGTTTGTCTTAAAGCACATTAAAAACACAAATCAGTCGCGTGCATTTGTGTTTTCCTCCCGTCAGATGAGAGTCAAGCCGCTGCCATGTCGAGTGTGAAGTCAGTGTTCAGTCGTAAGGCCGTGGTCCGCATGCAGCTCCTGAAGGAGGTTGTGGGAGCAGATTCATACAGGATCAACAATAAATATGATGACCATCACACGCCGCTGCCCGTCTCGGAGATCATCCAGCGAGCTCAGCTCCTCATTGGACAGGAGGTGTCATATGACCTGCTGGGCAGCAACTGTGAACACTTCGTCACTCTTCTTCGCTACGGCGAGGGAGTGTCTGAACAGGTCAGACCAACCAAATATACCACGTTATTATTACCATGTTCCAGGAATTTGGTGTTTATGGAAGCTCGTTTCCGCCACAGAATAAAACATTTTAAAAGATAATTGCGAATTTTTATCTCACAATTGCGAGTTATAAAGTCAGAATTGCGAGATATAAACATGCAATTCTGAGAAAAAAAGTTTATTTCTCGCAATTGCAACTTTATATCACGCAATTCTTACTTTTAACTCGCAATTCTGACTTTATATCTCGCAATTCTGACTTAATATCTCAATTCTGACTTTATATCACGCAATTCTGACTTTATAACTCACAATTCTGACTTAATATCTCAATTCTGACTTTATATCACGCAATTCTGACTTTATATCACGCAATTCTGACTTTATAACTCGCAATTCTGACTTAATATCTCAATTCTGACTTTATATCACGCAATTCTGACTTTATAACTCGCAATTCTGACTTAATATCTCAATTCTGACTTTATATCACGCAATTCTGACTTTATAACTCGCAATTCTGACTTAATATCTAAATTCTGACTTTATATCACGCAATTCTGACTTTATATCACGTAATTCTGACTTTATAACTCGCAATTCTGACTTTATATCACGCAATTCTGACTTTATATCACGCAATTCTGACTTAATATCTCAATTCTGACTGTATATCACGTAATTCTGACTTTATATCTCAATTCTGACTTTATATCACGCAATTCTGACTTTATATCTCAATTCTGACTTTATATCACGCAATTCTGACTTTATATCACGCAATTCTGACTTTATAACTCGCAATTCTGACTTAATATCTCAATTCTGACTTTATATCACGCAATTCTGACTTTATATCTCGCAATTCTGACTTAATATCTCAATTCTGACTTTATATCACGCAATTCTGACTTTATAACTCGCAATTCTGACTTAATATCTAAATTCTGACTTTATATCACGCAATTCTGACTTTATATCACGTAATTCTGACTTTATAACTCGCAATTCTGACTTTATATCACGCAATTCTGACTTTATATCACGCAATTCTGACTTAATATCTCAATTCTGACTGTATATCACGTAATTCTGACTTTATATCTCAATTCTGACTTTATATCACGCAATTCTGACTTTATATCTCAATTCTGACTTTATATCACGTAATTCTGACTTCATATCATGCAATTCTGACTTTATATCATACAATTCTGACTTTTTATCACGCAATTCTGACTTTTTATCACGCAATTCTGACTTTATATCACGTACGTCTGACTTAATATCTCGCAATTCTGACTTTATATCACGCAATTCTGACTTTATTTCTCGCAATTCTGACTTTATATCACGCAATTCTGACTTTATTTCTCGCAATTCTGACTTTATAACACGCAATTCTGACTTTATATCTCGCAATTCTGACTTTATATCACGCAATTCTGACTTTATATCACGCAATTCTGACTTTTTTGTCAGCAATTGTGAGAAAAAAGTCAGAATTGTGGGATAAAAAGTCACAATTACCTTTTTTTTATTTTTCATTCTGTGGCGGAAACAAGCTTCTATAAGTATTCGATCAGCACCACGCAAAAAATTGCACTGATATGGCATTTTGGCACATATCAAATCTAGTGTGAGTTCCCTAGCTAGGATGCATTGTGAAGCATCATGGGTGCTCCAACCAAAAATGCTTCTGATTCAGGAAACGCCTGATGCCAAAAATGCTGTCAAGTACCATTAAATACATGATAGATGAATATGGTAATTAGTCAGACGCACATCACTGTATGTCCCTCTACTTTGAATGATTTATGAATAGTAAGACGATAATTTGATGTTCTGATTGGGAACGAGACTGTTTATGTGATATTGTGTGGTTTTCTGTGTTGACAGGCGTCACGGGCGATTGGCGCCATCAGTTTGGTGACGGCAGCGGCCAGTGCGTTCTCAGTGCTGGGAATCATCAACACACGCTCCAGAAACAGACCGTTCTAGATCTGATGAAGCCCAGACCACGTTATATGGAGTGATCTGAATTATGATTGAAAGACCTCTGACGAAAGCTAAATGTCCTTGAGTCGATATACTCAAGTTTTTTAGGTTGAAAATAGGTTGTGTTACAATGAACTTTTGATGTGAAAGTATTAAAAACTGCTTTATTTCATGCTTGAATATTAAAAAAATACATTATTTTCCTCATATTCTCCATTGTTGCGGCTCCTCTCTTCTAAGTCTGTCAGTAATGCTCTGTTTACTTCCTGTCTCTATGAAGCCCCTCCTTCTGAAAAGCACACTGTCCTCTGATTGGTCGGCTGGAGCAGTGTGTTGTGATTGGTCGAGCGTTTCAAGTGTGTTTGGGAAATGCCCCGCCCCTTTCCATAACCGCCAGTTTAACACACTACTAACTAACTCAACCAGGCCCCGCCCCTTTATTCTGCGTATTAATTATTATGATGAGGAATATTGTGACGTGTTCGAAACTCAAGACTACAATGGAGGCGTTTCAGGGAGTTCATAACTATGGCAGCACATCCTAAATATTTGAATAAAAATATAAAATGTTTAAAAAAAAAAACCCCACAACAGATATATAGGAAAGAAATGTTTTAATTACATATTTCAAATGTACAAAAAGTTGAAAACAGAAATGTAGGCAGCCATGTGTGAAGCTGATTGGTCAGCTGAAGTGTAACGGAGCTGCTGATTGGTCGGCTCAGGTGTTCTGTGCGGCTTGCTGCATGATGACCGAGCCGAGACTCAATAACTGCAGATACTCGTCAGCACCGTCGGCCAGACACTTATCCACCTCCTGAGACACAGATCAGAACACTTGACTTCAACAAAACAACCAACACATTTCAGTGGAAGCTTGTTTCCGCTACAATAATAATAATAAAAAGTAATTGCGACTTTTTAATCTCAGAATTCTGACTTTTTTTCTCCCAATTGCGTGTTATAAAGTCAGAATTGAGAGAAATAAACTTGCAATTGACCTTTTCTATCCCCAAGTCAGAATTGCGTGATGGTCAGAATTGCGTGATATATAGTCAAAATTGCGTGATATAAAGTCAGAATTGCGAGATATAAAGTCAGAATTGCATGATATAAAGTCAGAATTGCGAGATATAAAGTCAGAATTGCGAGATATAAAGTCAGAATTGCATGATATAAAGTCAAAATTGCGTGATAGTCAGAATTGCGTGATATAAAGTCAGAATTGCGTGATATATAGTCAAAATTGCGTGATATAAAGTCAGAATTGCATGATATAAAGTCAAAATTGCGTGATAGTCAGAATTGCGTGATATATAGTCAAAATTGCGTGATATAAAGTCAGAATTGCGAGATATAAAGTCAGAATTGCATGATATAAAGTCAGAATTGCGAGATATAAAGTCAGAATTGCGAGATATAAAGTCAGAATTGCGAGATATAAAGTCAGAATTGCATGATATAAAGTCAAAATTGCGTGATAGTCAGAATTGCGTGATATAAAGTCAGAATTGCATGATATAAAGTCAAAATTGCGTGATAGTCAGAATTGCGTGATATAAAGTCAGAATTGCGAGATATAAAGTCAGAATTGCGTGATAGTCAGAATTGCGTGATATAAAGTCAGAATTGCGAGATATAAAGTCAGAATTGCGAGATAAAGTCAGAATTGCGAGATATAAAGTCAGAATTGCGTGTTATAAAGTCAAAATTGCGTGATAGTGAGAATTGCGTTATAAAGTCAGAATTGCGTTATAAAGTCAGAATTGCGTGATATAGTCAGAATTGTGAAAAAAATTAACTTGCAATTGACCTTTTCTATCCCAATTGTGTTATAGTCAAAATTGTGTGATATAAAGTTTATATCTCGCAATTCTGACTTTATAACATATTTCCGACTTTATATAACGCAATTGCGACTTTATATCTCGCTAATCTGACTTTATAACAAGCAATTCTGAGAAATAAAGTCATAATTGCAAGATGTAAACTCACAATTGTGAGATATAAAGTCACAATTATCTTTTAAGATGTCTTATTCTGTGGTGGAAACGAGCTTCCATACATTTCCACTGAACAGAACAAGAAAACGTTCAGTCTCTGTCCACTTACGGCCATCTTCTCTGCGATGGCGGATTTGTGTTTGTCGCTCAGCTTCTCTTCGATGATGACCTCGTGTAACTGGTTGAGAACGTTGGTTGCAGCGAATCCCTGATCGATCAGATCCTGCACAAAGCAAGACGAGCTTTATGGAAAACCGATGCTGAAAACATTCACACATGGCAAAACATGACCCGCAGGCTTGCATGCCAGTGTTTAAATCCACTTGCTTTGTTTTCGTTTAGTCTGCATTTCTCACCATCAAAAGGCAGCAGATGCATAAATACACTTACTTTGTTTTTGTTTACTCCATGTAGTTCTGAGAGCTGAGGTGCATATTTTGATTTTCTCAGACTCTCTCTCACACACACACACACACACACACACACACACACACACACACACACACACACACACACACACACACACACACACACACACACACACACACACACATTAATATGCTATTATACTCCATATAACTCCATGTAAAAGTCAGAAACTAAGCTTTTTTTGCACAGGCTTATCTAAAGGGTTAATGGTGCCACCTGGTTATCAACAGTAAAAATGACAAATTTTACCTCTTCCCAACAGGGAAAACCACCAACAATCAAAAATGCATGATTATATGATGTCATGGCTTTGCAATCAAAAAATGTGGTTATAATGGAAGTCAATGGGGCAAAAACAGCCACGAACAGTAAATGAGGGAGAAAGTGTTAAAATCTGATGCTGCACA